CAAAACAGTACTTACAACTTGAACCAACCTGTGATTTTTTTTAAAAGCAGACATCTCTCTCTCTCTTTCTCTCTCTCACACACACACACACACACACACACACACACACTTTGTTAAAGTCAGTGTGTCAACAACAATGATCTCTGGGTATGAACGTGAGATTAACAGGTAACATTCAGTTTCCCCTTTGCACTGTGTCCCCTGCTGTTTCTTCAGTTTATATCATCCTTGTAATGAAAGTAAAATCTGCAGAAGGACAAGCCTCAGAGTCTCGGGGAACAGAGCCGTAAAGCCTTCAGTTCTGACACACGTCAGCACTGTTGCTGGGGACAGAAGCGCGTGCAGCTTGTGAAAGACACTGCTCAGCAGCAGACCCCGCGGGGACGGTGCGTCCTTCGTCCTCTCGCCATCCAGACACCTGGACTGAGAACGTGTACCCTATGGAGGTAGCTGTCAGGATAGTGCATCTTTTTAGCTGTATCTGGAGTCCCCGGCCCTTAGTACCTGGGCCCCCATCGTTGCTCATCCAATTCACCTTCTCGGCGTCCTCCTCCAGCCACGCCCCCAAGTACAGACGGAAGTGCTCGCTGCTGGAGTGACTTCATTCGGGAGACTGCATGAGCCACTGAGGCAGGAATGTGAGTTCCTTAGCACCACATGCAGTTCTCCCCCTGCCTCCCCGTGGGCATCGCCTCTGCCCATCTCCTCTCTTTTTTTAAGTTATTTCTAGGAGAGAGACAGCGTGAGCAGGGGAGGGTCAGAGAGAGAGGGAGACACAGACTCTGAAATAGGCTCCAGCCTCTGAGCTGGCAGTCAGCACAGAGCCCGACGTGGGGCTCGAACCCACGAACTGTGAGATCATGACTGAAGCGAAAGTCGGACACTTAACTGACTAAGCCACCCAGGCGCCCCTGCCCCTGTCTCCTCTTAACCCCCAGTGCCTGCACCTGCTCCTCTTCACTGCCCCCCCCATTCAGACCCCTCCCCCCACCGGTCCTCGCTGGGGCTGAGGCTGCCTCTGTGGAGCACTCCCCACTCAGCACCCCCCCAGGTGCCCCACCCATTCTAGATCCATGTCTCGGTCCATTTCCCGCAGCTGCTTGATGGCACGGACCGAGGGGGCTCGGGTGTGCTTGGGAAGTTGCAGGTGCGTAATCCCCGTTTGGCCAAGTCAGCACGTGGACAGGTACATGAGATAGGCTTCTGAAATTTCTCATCAGTCACGAGAGCAGCTGGGGCAGAGTCACATGACCTGAGAAGATACTGAAGTAGAAGTTAACCTCGGGCACCCTCGCTCTATTTGTTACTAGCCCTTTTCTCAGCTGTCATGTGCTGGGGCTTCCGCCCGTTTCCGGAGGGATTCTGCATCATCGGCTTTCCAGGCCTGGGCTGCACGGTGGAACTGGAAGGAGGAGCCAGGCTTAGTCCACTCAGACCGGGGTCAGCTCCAGGCTCTGCCGGCTCCTCACTGGCAGGGGGCGCGGGGAGGGGGGGGGAGGGAGGGGTTAGGAGCCTTAGTTAACGTGTCTGTGCCTCCATTTGTCCGTGTCACTTAGTATAAGAAACTAGTGACTTCCCTCACAGGTGGTAGTACAGGAGATAGTGTATGTAAGGCAACTGGAATGTTTTCATTGGTTTCATAAGCACTTATTGAGTGCCTGCTGTATGCCAGGCACATTTTAGTGAACAAAATAGAAAAGTGTGTGTCCTCAGTGGGAAGAAAGAAGGAAATAAGTAGTAAGAGCCAGGAAGACAATAGAGCCGGTGTAACGGGGATGGAAAGTCACCGCCTCTGAGGAAGTGTTGATTTTGAGACACTTGGAGAGAAGGAGAGAACTAGGAGGGCCACAGGTCTGTGCACCACGGGAGAGAGGCCAGTGCCCCTCACCGCCCAGCAGAGGGAGCCGCGGGCACGGTGGCGGGAGCTGGTCCAGAGGAGCCTGAAGGCAGTATTGGAGTCGTGGCCCAGACCGTGGTTTTCATTCTGATCGTGGTAGGAGTCCTCGCCAGTAAGGACTCGATAAGTACATGCTTTCCTCGCTCTGATTTCTTTCTTTCCCTTCCTTAAACGATATGAAATCATTTCCTGAACTGTACATCAGTAGCCCAGGGCAAGTCATTTAGTCTTACTTTGATTTTAGTCTGCCAAAATGCCAGGAAGATTATACCTTCTTTAATCAATATACCTATAAATTAGTACTGATGTCAGGAAAGTGCTTTGAAATTTTGGGAAGCTATACAAATGTGGATTTCTGTTGTTGCCCTAGAGATTCCTGAGCCTTCTAAGGCCTTGGTCTGTGGACTTTGGCTGAGCATACCACTTTACTTTCTGGTACTTGTGGGCTCATACTGGCTGTATTGACTGCTTCAAATTTGCTTCAAAATGATTGCTTCAAATACAAAATTGTATTCCTTGCTCCTCAGACTCACATTTGGAGTAATAGGTCATTTGTCAGATGTCTCACTAGCGTTTAGGGGAAGAACTCTTTATGGAGGCAAGATGGACCTGTGTCCAATGAATCACGTGTTGATGTGACAAATGTCAGTCCAACAGACTTGACAGAATGCCAAGGGAATAAATATCATATGCCATCATCTTTGGAGGTGTGGATATAAAACCCTTTTCATCAGGAGCTCTCTGGAGGTACGCCTGGAGGTAGTCCATGCTTAGAAATGAGAGGCGAATGCTGTGTTTAACTTTTCTGAATCCCGCTAATATTAATTTTCTTTCTTTCTGAAAACATTGTATTTGTTACTTGATTGTTAAGCGTCTGACTCTTGTTGATCTCGGCTCAGGCCATGATCTCACAGTTTGTGAGTTCGAGCCCCACATTGGGCTGTGTGCTAATAGCGTGGAGCCTGCTTGGTATTCTGTCTCTCCTCTCTGCCCCTCCCCTGTGAATGGGCTTGCTGCTGTCTCTCTTTCTCAAAAATAAGTAAATAAACTTTTAATTTTTCCAAGAGATTTCTCAACTTTAGGATAAGAAACCTGAAACCTCTTATTATATATAATCATCTTAAGCTTGGGAAGTTCTTTCTTATGTCTGGTTCAGATCTTCTACAGTTTGAGTACATTTCTTCTTCGTCTGTACAAATGGAAAACAGCTGTCCAGCCTCCCCGGTAACAACCTTTCATGTTCTTGAGGATTGTTATTAAATCCCTCCCCAGCCTTCTTTCCTTGGGACTAAATAATGCCTTGAAGTGATCTTCAAAGTGCCCATTTTCCACTCCTTTAATCATCTCCTTGTCTTTCCTAAGCTTTTCTCCATCCTTCTTTAAATGTGGGTGCCTAATTGGAGCCCCGTATTCTCTGGAGAGCCTCACAGTGAATCGGGATCGCTACCTGTTGGCTGTCACATGTGGTCACCATTCATGTGGGAATCCAGGCATCTTACCAACACCCATAAGGAGGAGATGCAGGACGAACGCTTCCCTCCACGGCTAGGCTGGGCCTGGTTGTGGCTGTGGCTTTGGATTTTGGAGTCTGCGGCCTTTCCCCAGTGCCATTTCCTCTTAGTCCTGCGAAGGCCTTCACTGCTGGTTTCCATGCCTATGTCAAATGTACATGCAGGGAACATGAAGTCCCTTGGGGCCTGTCACTTCCACCCCCAGAGAGCTTCCTTCTGAACAGATCTGTTAGGACAAGTGGCATTAATTTCTGTGTCTAAACTCATCGAAATCACAGAGGAGGGAGGATCTCAAAAATTGCTCTGTGAGCTCAGGAAGGTAAACAATTTAATTGTTCAATGTCCACTGTCAAGAATGAGAGATGTAGGGGCACCTGGGTGACTCTGTCGGTTAAGTGTCCGACTTCAACTCAGGTCGTGATCTCACGATTCGTGGGTTCAAGTCCCGTGTCGGGCTCTGTGCCGAGGAATAGCTCAGAGCCTGGAGCCTGTTTTGGATTCTCTGCCTCCCTCTTTCTCTGACCCTCCCCTGCTCACACTGTCTCTATCTCTATCTGAAAAATAAATAAAACATTTAAAAAAAAAAATGAGAGATGTAGCGTGTCATTGAAATTGTCATAATCGTGTGCCATCTCCGTTGGTCGGGGCTTTGATTGGGTCACTGATGTGTGATCTTTTCCTACCCTCTCCTGCTCTGTTTTCCCCAAAACTCAAGTTCCTTGGGTATAAACGGTCCTGGCGTGGGGATTTGCAGAACCACAAGAATGGAAGCAGGTAAACAGGACTAGAGTCCATCGTTTACCTCACTCATCAGGCTTGTGTCGGCATGGAGCCCAGCCTGGGCCGCAGACATTTCCCTACTGGGTCAGCTCCTGCAGGAAACAGGCATGCTGGCCAACAAGTGGGCACAAGAGGGCAAGAATCAGTTTTGACCAGGGTGATTCTGCGGCAAAACTCTGTGTAGGCAAAGCCTAAATTAGCATCACTATCTGAATACTACAGGGTCTGATTGAATCATGTGTGTGACCAAGAGATTGGCTGATAAGTGACATGAAATCCTTGTTATATGTTCCCTCTCTCCAGATTTTGGGGCTCATTAAAACAATGTCTCGTTAAGCAGTGTCTCACAGGTCAATTGTCTTTGCACTTTTGAGAGAAGTACTGAATTTTGCCTTACAACCAAAATGTGTGGGTGCCTGAGACATCAGGTTTGGGATGATCGATTCCAGGGGTCGTTTTGAGTCAGCTGCATTTCACAGTAAGATACAGTATTGTGAGTGCCGACTGTTCGTGCGCGGGAACGTGTACGGTCAGAACGGTGCGTTTCCATCGAGGGTGCCCACTCTTCATCGAAAGCGAGGTGCATTGTCCTGGTTCCATTCTGATTAATCCCCAGGATATTTATGTACCTTGCAAAGACGTTTGTTAGGCCACCTAAGGTCTTTGTCCTTCCTTAACGAGATTCAGAATCCTAATGGGGTAAATAAGACTTCACCACATGCACCCATGAGACTGCCCGTCTGCCCCGCAGGGCGCTGACCCTGCAGGTGAGAAGATAATGCAGCATGTAACTTCCTCACTTTTTCTTCTAGTCTAACAGGCAACCCGCTAAGCTGAACCTTCTCACCTGCCAGGTGAAACCAAATGCCGAGGACAAGAAGTCTTTTGACCTGATATCACGTGAGTCCTTTTTCGCTCCAGGTCGGTGTCTGTGGCTTCCGACCCACACTCCCTCTCCGGGCGTGCAATCAGCCTGTCCCGGGCAGGGCCCCTGGCACCCCTGCACAGGCACGTTGCTTCATTTATACTTAGCACACCCGCGGGGGCAGGGAGAAGGCATAACAGGGTCAGATATGACCCCCAGTGGATTCACACTGAGATCTGTACATGAAACTAGACCAGTTCTTGACCGTGAGCCTACAGCTCTATGTGCATGGAGAGATTTTTCTAAGTACACTGCTGTTTCTCTCCTAGATGTGCTGAGTCACAATCTTTGCTGTGAAGTTCAGACATAAATATTTTTGTACCAAGTCCCAGGTGATTCTGATGTGTACCTGTGATTAAGACTCTCTGGCATAGGGGCGCCTGAGTGACTTGGTTGGTTAAGCATCCGAGACTCTTGATCTCAGCTCAGGTCATGATCTCATAGTAGGTGAGATCGAGCCCCACGTGGGCTGACGCGCTGACAGCACAGAGCCTCCTTGGGATTTTCTCTCCTCTCTCTCTGCGTCTCCCCCTGCTTGCACTCTCTGTCTCAAAATAAACATTAAAAAAAGGATCTCTGGCATAGACTTGAGAATGCAGGTGTGCCAGTAAAACAGTACAGGTGACTTGCTAAGAGGCTTGCCCCTGTAAAATAGGGCTCTTTTTTTTTTATGTTTTATTTATTTTTGAGAGAGAGAGACAGCATGAGCCGGGGAGGGTCAGAGAGAGAGAGAGACAGACAGACAGAATCTGAAGACAGGCTCCAGGCTCCGAGCTGACTGTCAGCACAGAGCCCGACGCAGGGCTCGAACCCACGAACCGTGAGATCATGACCTGAGCCGAATTCAGACATTCTTAACCGACCGAGCCACCCAGGCACCCCAAAATAGGGCTCTTAAAAATCACTTGGTTTCCAAGGAAAACTGCCTCCTAACTTCACAAGTGGAAGACCCTGGCATCCCATCCCTGTCTCACTCCATGGGTCGAAGTGTGCTTTTCCTGGTGATGAGGGCTTGTAATGACCCTCCCGTTCCCCAGGCTGTGGCCTATATCTTCATGGCCTGCAGAGAGTGGGTAAAGATAGTTTTCTCGACCAGCTCCCTGTGCTTACCCTGGTCCCATGGCTGCACGTACGGACCCCCATGATCACGTGATCACTGAAGGGACATCTCTGTATATGGAAGGGGATGGTCATACCTGTAGTGACTCACCAGTATTCTGAGACCCTGCATGTTAACCTTCAGTTACTCTCCCTTCTCTGTAGAGCCCTGTGGGCTGTCCAGCAGCTTACGTGCACGATCGGTGTGCACAGCACAGAAATACTTTCCTGCCCCCTTGAAATCCTTCTGATGTAGTTGTGTGAATAGAAGCCCTAAAGCACTTTCAACCCAAAAGACTCAGTCCATCTTGAGGTCCTTTAGATACAAGCTAGGCTACACAGCATCTATTAAAGTCCAGAGTCCCCATGATTTTTAGGATCGAGAAATTTCCCAGGCTATTGGTGAGAAAGAAATATGCAAAGTGGGAGTGATGACCCCAAAAAGCTAAGCAGCTAAGATATCTTAGATTTGAGAGCCTGTAGCTTATTAATAATAGTCATCAGCTGTTGAATATCTAACATGTGCCAGGTGCTTTATGAACATTACAGCTAATCCGCACAAAAGCTCTATTAGCTTCCTGTTTTATGGAAGAGAAAACTGAGACTCAGAGACGTTCAGTGATTTACCCACGGTCACACAGCAGTAAAGCGGGAATTCTCAGCCAAGACCCTTGGGCTCAACTACTCATGGTGTGCTCTTGGACAAACATTCTCTCTCTCTCGGAGATACAGGGTGTGAGTACTTGACTTGGAGCAAGTGGCTGGGTAGTACGGAAAGGCTAGCTGAGTATGTTGAAGCAGTCTAGCAAATCCTGAATTTTAAGAAAGAGCCTCTCTTGTATACAGCTGCCCAAATTATCCAAGTTAGGCCGTTCCCTCCTCGCCTGGGTAGGAGCTCGCAGGTGCCCCTCGAGCAGGATGGAAGCCCTTCTTCCCCGAAGCCTGATTCAGCCAGAGGGTCATCTGGGGCGGCGTGTGCCTGCTGGTGGGGGCTGCCCTGAGAGTTACGGATCATTTAAGAAAGTGAATTTTTTTTTAAAGGAAACACAGTAAAAGGCAAATTTAAAATGACAAGTAAAATACTGAACTGGCAGCTGGCAGTCTCCAGTTGGTCACTGAAATCCACTTGGATCACATGAGATTTTTCTTTTCACAAAAAGTACCTGATATTAGGCACTTGCGATTATTTTATTATATTACTCTTGCACTTCAGAAAAGTAATACTGACAAAGTGAATTGCGTAACTGCTAAATCAAAATGATGTGAAAATAAAATAATATTAAAATTTGAGTTTCAAGGTGTTTTGTTTTTCCCAGAGAGTTTTCATAATTGACATTATACCTGAAGGTGTTCTGCTTTCTAAAGTTCGGCTCTTTTTTTTTTTGCATTTTAGATAACAGGACGTATCACTTCCAGGCAGAGGATGAGCAGGACTATGTAGCGTAAGTAGTTCTGATACGATGGCCCGGTGTCTTGAGCCAAAAAGGCACCTCTGTCCCACTCAGCACACCTGGAAGTCTCCTTTGTGTTACCCAGAACTCTCCTCGTGGTTCCACACGCCCGTGCCTCCCCTGTGCACCTCCAGCTGTCCCTCCTCTCTCTGTCCGGGAGCTCGGTCCCCTCCAGTGCCCCCTTCAAGACTCGGCTCAGGCCTCACCACTCAGGGGCTCTGTTCCTCCCCCTCACCCCTGCAACTGCTCACACTCCTTGATGAGCCTCCGGTTTGGTCCGAACCCTTGGCAGACCGAGAGCACTCGAGGGCAAGGGCTGTGCCCAGCCAGGCTGCCGTTAACTGTGAGGAGAGCAGGGGAGCCTGGCCCTAAATGGGACTGGTGTGGCTGAGGAGCCCAGTGTAGTCGGGGGTGGGGGGGAACAGGCTTCGGTGTCACACGCCCCTGGGGATCCAGGTGTGCAACTTCGGGCAGGTCTCCACCCCCTTTCTTCATGTCCCCCCGGGTCCCGGGCTGTCTTCATTCCCTCTTCCTTCTGTAGCCCGCCAGGGCTGAAAACAGCAGTGTGGGGCCGTTCTACGCTCAGTGCCTGGGAGAGAGGACGTTTGTGCTAAAGCTGGCAGTTAGGGGGCGCCTGCGTGGCTCAGTCAGTTAGGCGTCCGACTTGGTTCCGGCTCAGGTCATGATCTCATGATTCATGAGCTCAATTCATGAGCCTGCTTAGGATATTCTCTCTCTCTCTCTCTCTCTCTCTCTTTCTCTCTCTCTCTGCCCCTCCCCTGCTTTCTTGCTGTCTCTCAAAATAAATAAACATTTTTTATTTTTATTTATTTTTTTAATTTATTTTTGAGAGAGCGTGAGCAAGGGAGGGTCAGAGAGCGGGGGAGACACAGAATCTGAAGATAGGCTCCAGGCTCTGAGCTAGCCATCAGCACAGAGCTCGGCTCGGGGCTCGAACCCACGAGCGGTGAGATCATGACCTGAGCCGAAGTCGGACACTTAGCCGGCTGAGCCACCCAGGCACCCCTAAACTTTTTTTTAAATGCTGGCAGTTAAGCCTTTTGGTAGCATTCACATTTTCAAATCTCTGTCTCTTTGGGACACACAGTAAATGATATTTTCCTTCCTGAATGATTTCTGGAGAGCCACAGAATTCTGCTCACCCCCATTTTTACTTACACTTACCCCTTTGCTCTCTCCCTCTCCCTTCCCTTCTCTCCTCCTCCTCTGGAGAATTCCACTCTTTCCCCACTTCAGGAGAAATGATAAAGGATCAGAAGGAATAAAGAAAGGGTGGAAAAGATGCATAGTTGGAAGACACAGAGCAGAAAGGGGCAGGGTGGGGGGCGGAGGCTGAGAGAGAAGGTAGGAGAGATGAAGGAAGACAAGAAAGGTCTTTGTCCTGTTCGTTCATCTGAAGATCTAGTGAGCGCCAGCTCCGGGCCGAGAACCGTGTAAAGCAGAGGATACAGCTCCGAGTTAGACGGAGCCCCCACCCTGAAGAAACTCGATGTCTTCTGGAAGAGAAGGGCAGGGACAGAGCGAGGGACAGCGGAGGCGGTGGGGGCATGTGCCCTCTTGGGTTCTCAGGGGGCAGCTCAGAGATGACGCCCGGGAGGAAAGCAGCGCAAGCCGGCTCGTGAAGGTGCAGGAGGATCATAGGTCCTCTGCGCTCCAGATGCGGGCTCTCCTGGCCTAGAGCAACCAGAAGGAATAGAAAGGAAGCAGTTGATGTGACTGATAGTGGGTTGGCCAGCGGGAGGGCGGCCAGACGAGAAAGAACAGGAAAGGTCAGGAGGGCTGGCCCTCTGCCCTCCTCACAGGGAGGTCGTGTTTACTGAGATCGCCCTGCACGTCATGTGTACAGACCGTGACTCCTCACAGCCCCGGAAAGCAGACACTGCTCTCCCTTGTTTGAAAATGAGGGCACTGAACGGCAGCGTGCCCAGGGTGACAGTGTGGGGGTCCTAGGGTCAAGTTGCGGGGCGTCCTTGCCCGCAGTAGTGCTCGCCGTGGGCCTGCAGGGGCTTGCTCACGGTGCCCGTCTTCCTCTCGGTCACAAGGTTGGCATAATTATGCCCGTTTTGCAGATGATTAAACAAACCAAGTGAGGTTAAGTGACTTGTTTAAGGGCTCAAAACAAAATGGTAGACGTGTGATTGGAACGCTGGCCCTGCCGCCCGTGCTGTTCCAGTTTGTCGCACTGTGTGATCAGAGGTCATGGGCTCCCGGCCCCTCCGAGGTGAGACCGTCCAGGAGTCCAGACCAGCACATTTGCCTTGACTTGGTGGCATCACTTGGAACTTGGTCCGCCTCCTTTATAAGACACGGGAACAGCAGTAGGTGCTTGGCGAAGGCCCCTGTTGGAAGGCGGCAGCGAAAGGGCATGCGAGCAGATGAGCCTCGCTGGTCGTGGCGGGGTCTGCGGGCGGTCACACGTACGGGCGCTCCTGACACGTGTCCCGTTAAGAATTTCCTAGCCAGGGGCGCCTGGGTGGCTTAGTCGGCTAAGTGTCCGACTTTTGCTTAGGTCACGATCTCGCGGTTCGTGGGTTCGAGCCCCGCGTCGGGCTCTGTGCTGACTGCCAGCTCAGAGCCTGGAGCCTGTTTCAGAGTCTGTGACTCCCTCTCTCTCTGACCCTCCCCTGCTCACGCTGTCTCTCTGTCTCTCTAGAAATAAATAAAAAAACATTTAAAAAAAAAAAAAAGAATTTCCTAGCCAGAATTCCAGAATCACCTTGGAATATGACTTCCCCTTCTCATGTTTCACTCTTTGCTCCTTTTTTCCCTTCTCCAGACCCTCAAGTGGGAGAACAGGGAAGAGGTTGTGTGAGGCAGGGAACGCTTCTGCTGCTGCCTTGCTGTCGAGCTGTTACAACTATGGTATTTATTCTGCGACTTCAGAGAATCCCGGCCCAGTTAGGTCAGAGGCACAGGCTGCTCACCTGTGAGCCTTAGCTCCCCTCAGTGAAAGGCTTGCTTAGCCCATCCGGCAGGTGCTACACATCTGCACTTGGCCTTCCCTGGGGCTGGGGGTGGCAGTAGGGAGCTTCGCTTTGAGTCACGTGGGCGGTAAGGGAGCACACACACCCGCCCAGACCCCCCCACCCCCACCCCTGCCTGGAGCTCGGAGCTCAGGTCCTCATTTACCTGCAAGCTAGAGTTTCTTTCTCATGGAAAGTGTCCAGGGAAATTGAACGTAGAGCAGCCTTCTCCCCGAGGGAGGACGCCTGTGCAGCTCCCTCGTCTGTTCAAGTCAGGCTCAGGACTTCTGGTCCAGCCTTCGCCCCCTAGTGGCCTTTTGACCTTGAGCCTGATCATCCCACCTCAGTCTTCTTTATTTTTTTTCCAAAGATTATTTATTATTTGTTTGTTTCAATTTAAGTTAGTTAACAGACAGTGTAGCCTGGGCTTCAGGAGTAGAACCCAGGGATTCACCACTTCCATATGACACCCAGTGCTCATCCCAGCAAGTGTCCTCCTTACTGCCGTCACCCATGTAGCCCATCCCTCCGCCCAGCACCCCCTAGGAGCCCTCAGTTTGTTCTCTGTAGTTAAGAGTCTCTTATGCTTTGCCTCCTTTTCTGTTTTTATCTTTTTCCTTCCCTTCCCTTCTCCTATGTTCATCTGTTGGGTTTCTCAAATTCCACGTATGAGTGAAATCCTATGATATCTGTCTTTCTCCAATTGACTTACTTCACTTAGAACAATACACTCTGGTTCCCTCCATGTTGTTGCAAATGGCAAGATTTCATTCTTTTAAGTTGCCAAGTAATATCCCATTGTGTGTGTGTATGTGTATGTGTGTGTGTGTGTGTGTGTGTGTGTGTGTGTATACACACACACACACCATCTTTATCCATTCACCAGTCAATGAGTACTTGGGTTCTTTCCAATACTTTGGCCCTTGTTGATAGTGCTGTTGATAGTGCTGCTATAAACAGTGGGGTGCATGTGCCCCCTCAAATCATCATTTTTGTATTAATTGGATAAATACCTAGCAGTGCCGTTGCTGGGTCATAGGGTAGTTCTACTTGTAAGTTTTTGAGGAACCTCCACACTTGTTTTCCAGAATGGCTGCACTAGTTTGCATTCCCACCAGCAGTGCAAGAGGGTTCCTCTTTCTCCGCAGCCTCGCCAACATCTGTTGTGGCCTGAGCTTTTCATTTTAGCCATTCTGATGGGTGTGACCCACCTCAGTCTTCTTGTCAGCAAAGAAGGGGATCACAGATTTTGCTCACAGGCTTTGAGACTCCAGATAAGATGTGTGAAGCTTCTAGAACAGTGCCAACATCATTAATCCTGTAAAGTCAAAGTGACTTTAGAGTCCTAGAATATAACTATGCATTATTTTCTTTCTTATACTTTTTGGTATGCCTGTTACATTAAAATAATTTAAAAATTTATTTTTTAATTGTCAGAAATAGTTGCTGTGGTTCTTGACCGTTTGAAACGTAGACAATCTTTTCAATCCAATTTTGAGTTATCCTTCCAGAAAGTAAATTGCTCTTAAAATACATACTTTCTAATTGTCAGTACCAACTCCTCGATTTCTTCACTTGTCCCAGTCTCTCGAGTGAGGAGGTACATGTGGCGTAATGAAGGAACCGCGGCGAGGAGGGGGGTCAGCAGGTGTGTTTTCCACTAGAGGACCCTGTGAGCCATTAGACCTCTCTGGCTTCTCATCTGTAAGATACTGCCACCCTCAACTCAGAGGTCTGCTGGACCGATTACATCTCCAAACTCCTAAGTCCTTGCTACACAGTAGATGATGTCCTGTCAGAGATCCGGAGCATCACGCTGCTTACGGAGAGTGAAACCGGTTTTGCAGACAGCAGACACAACGCAAACTCCAGTAGCATAGTGCCACCGATTAGCACAGTGTTGAGCCCAGTGGTTTGAATTATTTTTAAGGAAACAGTTTCTACTTTTAACTTGAAACTAAATGATAGGAAACATATTCTTTAATTTAAAAGTTATTAGGGGCACATGGTTCGGTTGGTTGAGTGTCCAACTCTTGATTTTGGCTCAGGTCATGATCCCGGAGTCGTGGGCTCGAGCTCTGCATCAAGTGTGGAGCCTGTTTGGGATTCTAACTCTCTTTGTCTCTCTATCTCTGCCCGCCGCCCCCCCGCCCTTGTTCAATCAATTTTTAAAAGTTAGTTGAAAATTTAAATTTTAATACCTGATTAACTGTTCCACTCTCTGGTTATTTCACACTTTAATAATGAATACTTGGATTGCCTGGGTGGCTCAGTCAGTCAAGTGTCTGACTCGATTTTGGCTCAGGTCACAATCTCACAGTTCATGAGTTTGAGCCCTGCATCGGGCTCTGTGCTGACAGTGTGGAACCTGCTTGGGATTCTCTCTCACTTTCCCCCACTCTCTCTGCCCCTCCCCCTCTCGTGCACACATGTTCTCTCTTTCCTCTCAGAATAAATAAACATTTTTTTAAAAAATGATGAACCTTGGGGCGCCTGGGTGGCTCAGTCCGTTAAGTGTCCAACTTCGGCTCAGGTCATGATGTCGTGGTTTGTGGGTTTGGGCCCCGCATCGGGCTCTGTGCTGACAGCTAGCTCAGAGCCTGGAGCCTGTTTCAGATTCTGTATCTCCCTCTCTCCCTGACCCTCCCCTGCTCATGCTGTCTGTCTGTCTGTCTCTCTTTCTCGCTCAGAAATAAAACGTTTTTAAAAATTTTAAATAAAAATGATGAACCTCGCTGTTGTGTAATTTAGGTTGTTTTATGGATAGAGTGGTAGCACAGGGTTGTTTTATTTGGTAATGCTGTGATCATGCTGTATATGTGATTTAATAGCCTGCACTTTTTATTTCATATCATTAACATCAGCATGTTTCCGTGTTAATATACGTCTTCCACGGCCATGAATTCTCATGGCTTCTAATGAAATAGCCCTTCGTTTCCGCCTCCAAGGTTCCTCCCCAGCAGTGGACTTCCAGAGAACAGATGCCTTTTGCTAAACTCTTTCTTGCCTTCTGTCCACTCATCACCAGTTCTCTGTCATCCTCGCGTGGCTTGGCCCCACAGAGTCCTCTTCATTCCGGTGTTTCCTTTATTCTGTGTAGACGGAAACATGCACCGTGTTGCCACTGCAGGTCCTCCATTGTGTCCATCTTACCTCTCGCCCGCCCCTCTCGCTTCTCTTGTCTTCTCCAGCACGCGCTTCATGCTCTTTTAACTTTCTTTCCCCTTTAATTTCTTTTATTTTTCTTCACGTTATTGGTCAGGGCGGGAGGGGTTCCGTTTTGGAAGCTCTTGGCAAAAGTACACATCTTACAGTGGAAGAAGACCATGGCTGTGCTCTCATGTCTCCTTCCTCTTTCTTTTGACAACAGATGGATCTCCGTGTTGACGAACAGCAAAGAAGAGGCCCTGACCATGGCCTTCCGTGGAGAGCAGAGCACAGGGGAGAACAGCCTGGAAGACCTGACAAAAGCCATCATTGAGGACGTCCAGAGACTCCCTGGAAATGACGTCTGCTGTGATTGTGGCTCATCAGGTATTTGCCCCCAGACTTGAGCTGGCTTGTTAAACAGCCTGTCTCCTCCCGTAGAATAAAAATGAGCTAGTTAGTTAAATCCTTGTCTCCTTATGCACACAGACACACACCCACCATGTATTTCCAACTTGAATGGTCCCGCCTCTGAGCCACTTTTACACGTGCCATTTGCCCAGCCTGGAAAACTCCTACCTGCTCTCCCCAAACAGTCACCTGCCCAAATGCTACCAGTTAAATGAGCACCGTGGAACTATGGAGAGAGCACTGGGTGTGGAGTCCATCATCCTGTGTTTGAGTCACCAGCCTGCCGCTCACAGTGTGGACGTCCTCATGCTGAGCGCCTTTACTGTTCTGACCTCAGTGTTATCCTAAGATGGGACGGTCAACCTCAGTCATTGTGAGGACTTAACAGAATCTTCTGGCACATACATTGCTTTTCTTCCTTTCTGCTCCGGGAAACCTCCCCTGTCTCTGTTTCCCACAGGTGCCACTTTCCTCCAAACTTCTGTTTTCAAGCACCATCTGCATTCTGTAGGTATTGGCGGTAGTTAGCAGGAATCCGGTGCTTACATTGGACTAAGGACTCTGCTGGTTGTGTTTAGCTTGTCTTCCCTTACCAAATCCTCACAGACAGTCTGTGAGCAGGATTCTAGCATCATCACCATTTTACAGATGGGGACACTAGGGGACTCCGAGAAGTTAGGTGACCTCCCAGGCTTGCCCAGCTCGTAGGGATCAGAACGTGGCTGCAAACACGTGTGACACATTTAAGTGTATGAAACACTTTCTAAATGTTTTCCATATGAAAACGGCCTTCTCTGTACAAGACGGCATGTACAGACGCCGGTTTCTGCTGTGTTCGTGTGCGTGTGTGATAGTGACTCACGCTGGGCGTGCGAGGGTGTGGTAGAGGAGTCATAAGTACTCGGAGACCGACCGCATGAACCCTGAAAGTTTAGTAACGCGGGAGCCCGTGTTCCCCTGCTGTGGGGCCCGTGGGGTTACAGGAATAGCCGAGGTCTGGGAGAGCGGCCTCTGACGTTCAGAATCTACAGCTGTCTTGTCACGGGGGGGGGGGGTAATGTGCATTGTACCTGGGGGGTCAGCCGTACCTGTAGGACCGCGTCCATCACTGGCAGGGGTGACGCGGGCAGTGCGGGAGCACCTCTCACGAGGCCGTTCCATGACGCCTCACGGGAAACGTCTTCCTCGCGTTTTCACAAGAATAAAGAACTTAATTTTGTTTTCAATTCAGTGCTGAAAGAAAATTTTTTTAGGATTTCTCTTCTCACCCAGTTTGCTCTCTGACAGGCTGGTAAGCGTCATGTTAGCCCCTAGGCAGAACCACAAGCATCCATTTCTTCCCTCTAAATTTTACCCCTTTGACTCTTCACAAGGTTCACTCCTCTTGCTCTAGGTTCCTTTGTAGTTGGCACGCTAAAAGTAAGTATCATGTTTGTTTCATTGTCTTCAAAATGTTCTTTCCACACAGAACCCACTTGGCTTTCAACCAACTTGGGCATTTTGACCTGTATAGAATGTTCCGGCATCCATAGGGAAATGGGGGTTCATATTTCTCGCATCCAGTCTTTGGAACTAGACAAATTAGGAACCTCTGAACTCTTGGTAAGTAGTGACCTGCGCCTGGAAATAGAGATTGTCATAAATATATTGAATACATGGCTTTGGATTTTTTTGTTTCTGCTGAGTACAGAGAATCCCAATTCCTGAATTTAGTGAATTTGCATGGATATTTAAAATGTAAATTTTGTGGTATGTAATGTTGACTATTCTGTTTCCTTTTTGAAGAACTGGTGAATCATACATTTCTATAATTACTTCAGCTAAAGCGACTCTTTTTTTCGGGGATGGGCTTTTTCAAAGCTGCCTTCTTCTTTTAGAATTAGTTGTTATATGATTCACTCACTAGAAGAGCAGTAAAGGGAGTTAGGTGTTAAACTCACATGATCACTTTACCCAGTGGCCGGTGTGAATAGAAATAATGACTAAAGAGTCTTTCTGTTTTTACTGCTTGTAAGTTTGTGTAAGTCCCCGTGCAGTGAGAGTGTCTTGTCAGCCTCCGCCATCGCCCTTAACTGCGAACTTGTTGAGGTAGTGAGGAGAAATAGGGTGTGGTGTGGCGGTGCTGAGATTCATTACACGAACAGCCTGTCCTTCCCATCATGCTTCCTCCAGGTCAGGAGCCCTCTTTGGGTCCAGGCTGAGCTGGTCCCTTCAGTGAGTGTACCAAATAAAGGAAGGGGAGACCCGCTTGGCGTCTCCCATTAACGCCTTCTGGTCAGAAGCCCTGTCTTACATGATTTGAACACAGGTGCACTGTGAGGGAGTCTTTATACTAAGGGTGAAGGTGCTTGAAGTAAAAGAGGGTCTTTCATACAGAATTCTCTTGGGCAGAAAGTGAGTGAGCCTAGGGCTCAAAAGTCTAAAAGCCTAGCTGATCACTAGCCTTGTCTGGAGAAAAGTACCCAAAAGTGGAGGCAGTTAGCTACGTAGCCAGCAGCCTTGGCTATCTAAGCATCCTCTAAGCAATGGTGGTGTGTCTGTGTTGTGTGAGCCCCTGATTTAGGAAGTCTGCTAAGGCTCAGCTCCCTGACTTACTTCAGCATTAGAGGAAAAAAAGGCTCCGATCCGATACGTGACACACTCTTCTTTAGTGTATAGGTGGCGTCACTCCATCGCCTTGACTTAAGGTAATGAAACCCAGTTGACAACTAGAAATAGGGAGAGTCCAAATCTAAAATATATGTCTAGTGGTAAACCCAAGATTTTTCTTCCAGACACCTGGTAGCATGAATGTTTCTTACCTCTGCATTGCTCCCCAAATTATCCAAATGACCAGAAGCCCTTCAGGACAAATTCTCCTGGAAGGGTCTTGAACCCAGAAGCAAAATGCTTCCTGCAGCATCATTACGTGCACCCCAAAGATAAAGGAATCCCACATCCTTCTCTATCCAGTAAGAACAAATCTGCTCAGTCTAAAAATGAGGCATGATGGAGATTGAAAAGCTATTGCTGTCATTTAGCATTTAACCTAGATTCATATGTAGAACCTGCTATCTAATTGTGTGTGTGTGTGTGTGTGTGTGTGTGTGTGTGTGTAGGGCCACATCCTATTCTATCTAGCATTGATCACATTGTATCTGTAAAAATTATTGCTCTTACCAGTGGCCCTGCTAGTCTGTTGGCTCTTGCAGAAAGGAACATGGTTTATCCATCTCTTTATTTTCAGTGCCCTAAAGTTCCATGTCTTGCATATGGTAGGTGCTCAGTACTTACTGACCCGATGGATTATTTATCTTCTGAGTCAATGAAGGAACGATACATATTTAGAAATCTCAAAAGCAAATAAGAAACTTTTAAGCTAGTATAAAGAGTGACTGTATTGTGTTTTATATATGTTACAGCTGGCCAAGAATGTAGGAAACAATAGTTTTAATGATATTATGGAAGCAAATTTACCCAGCCCCTCGCCAAAACCAACCCCTTCCAGTGATATGTAAGTACTTCTAATAGACTGAATTCTCTACCATTCTGTAATTGTTTTTCTGTTCTCCCAAGAAACGTCTTAATGGTTGTAGTATTTTTCTCCCCTGAGGAAATCCCATTATGAGGAAAGCACAGAGCACACGAAAGTATTTTGGAGTGAGTGCATTTCTGGAGGGCACGGATTATGTTCACTGCCCCCTTCCCTAGATAGTTGCAGCCGCTCTATGGAGGAAGTGTCTTCACAAAGACAGTTCTCTCTAAATCATGGCCTGTTGTGAAAACAAGAGACAGACAGAAAGCCAACCTGCAGACCTGGCCGCAACTTAACGTAATACATGGAGATGGTTGTCTCAGATCTGCCTCCCGGGGCTTCCTGCTGTTGATGCTCGCTCCACCATCTTAGATAACACTGTAGAAGGAAGCTTGGATATGAACCCACAGCCATGTGTCATTCTTTGTTCCATACCTACCTTCTTGCTTCCCTGGAAGGCAGGAAGACTGGTATGACTACTCGTATTTTATGGGTGAGGAAAATGAGGCATAGCTTTACCCAGGGCCGCATAGATAGCACCTGGTATCAGACTTGAATCAAGCCATTTCATCCATGAATTGGAGGCTCCATCCATCACACAGTAGTTGCCTTTCAAAGTTTATGAAGTCCTGCACAGCAAGAGAGCAGAAGCCAGGCTTCAGCCAGCCTCTCAGGTCTACGAGTCCTCCAGTTTGTCAGACCACGGCCATCTCGTCTTCAAAGGACTTTGACCTGAGGGTAAAGAACACCCATGACAGTCAGATCTTGGTTACCGAGCAGAATCTGCAAGTGGCTGAAGTCTGCCATCAGCCAGCTCGCCCCTTCACTGCTGACCCAGAATGAAAGACAGAGGCATCACCTCGGTTTTAAACAGCGATGCCTGGCTGGTGGAGGGGGCGCTAGCAGCCTCCACACATGCAATGGCTTTTTGTGAGCAAGAACTCTCAAGTCCCAAGAGTTAACACCCCTCTCAGGAAGAAGAAAGCATCTTGTAGGTGCTGTGCATTCTCTCATTCAAAAGACACCAGTGAGTTATTCTCCCCATTTTCAGGGGAAAAACCCAAAGCCCATGAAGATTAAGTAGTCAGCCCCAGGTCATGCAGCTGATGCGCTGTAGAACTAGAATTTGAACCCAAAATCCATTTACTGCTTTTTTTATTAAGTGGCTCACGTAACTAGGAAAGTCACAGGGTGATTCCAGGTATGTTGGCTCCAAGATGTCAAACAGTATCCTCTGGACCCTCACTGGTTCACCTGATTTCTCCCTCCTTTACTCTGAGCAGACTTGCTTTCGGCCTTTCTGCAAATTGGGCCACTTAGCCCAGATCAGATAGCCCTGCAGCTGGGAAGTAGGCTCAGACCCAGAGCCTGGGACAGACCTAAAAATGGAGAAAGGATGAGTCCTCGTGAAGCAAATTCACATGCCCACTGAGACTTTGACGTTACCCATGACAGTCTCCTGTTCCCAACTGAACCTGCAGGAAAGACCAGTCGTTTTTATTCATCTTTATTCTGGTGCTCAATGCTTGGCCTGGGAGAGTGGCTGTAAGGACAGCCTTACTGAGCCTCCGTGTTCTTACCTGTTCGAATACGGCGTTGTGTCAGATGAGTACGAGTTTTTCATTGAAGTTCTGGAGACTTCACTGGACTTGTACAACTGCTCTTTTAAAATTTCTGTTTTCTTTGTATATGTAGGTGTCTGATTTTGAAGTAGTAGTAAACAGATTTCTCTAGCTAATGTCAAGGTGGAGTAAAACTCTCTTGTGATCTTTGTGCACATTAATTTTGTAACTCTAGGTTGCCTGCACATATACTATAAATATATATATTAGTTTCTTCATCCTGTGATGGGATAACTTGCTCTAAAACCTGATTGGTTTAAAGGCTGAAAAGGAGTCTCGGAGAGTTATTTCACTTAAAGAGAACTATTTAGAAAAACTGTAGATTTTTCTTAGCTCTTAGAAAATAAGTGTTTATATGTTGCTTTGCTCTACTTTAGGACTGTACGGAAAGAATACATCACTGCAAAGTATGTAGATCATAAGTTTTCAAGGAAGGCCTGTTCGTCTTCATCAGCTAAACTGAATGAATTGCTCGAGGCGGTCAAATCTCGGGATTTACTTGCACTAATTCAAGTCTATGCAGAGGGGGTGGAGCTCATGGAACCCCTGCTGGAACACGGACAGGTAAGGCCCCACTGAAATCGCAAGGTAAAAGGGAACGTGGAAAATGACTTTAAAAGCGAACTCCTTTTATTATAACCCGGCAGAGTGAGACTCTGATACATCGAGTGACCCTGTGTAAGTCAGGACAATTTGAGAGTGAAAGGGGCGCTGTTAATAATTACTTCGGGGCGACCGATGGGAACAAAGCTGCTCCAGGCAAAATAGGACGTACTTACTCTCATCCTGTGCTTTTCAGGAGCTTGGGGAGACGGCCCTGCACCTTGCAGTCCGAACCGCAGACCAAACATCTCTCCACTTGGTTGACTTCCTTGTACAAAACTGGTATGCTTCTCATTTTCTCCAAATAGGCCTTATCGTTCTCAGTGGCCCCAGTCAAGGATCGACAAGCTTTTGGTAAAGGCTTTGCAGGCCACAAGGCCTCTGTCGCAGCTGTTCAACTCTACCGTTGTAGTGTGAGAGCAGCCATAGACTATATGTAAATGAGGGACCATGGCCATGTCCCAATAAAGGTTTATTTATAAAAACAAATGGAGGGCCGGATATGGCCTACAGTATGCTATAGTTTGCCAAACCTCAACCTGGAAAAATGTAAAATCCTCTGTCCGAAACCTACTGTATTAGGAAAGGCTGAAAGAGGGAAAACTTAACAACATGAGTCAGCAGGATCTGGGAGTTTTCATTGTTCATAAGTTCCTTAAAAAACTACAGTGTGTGGGGCACCTGGGTGGTTGAGTTGGTTAAGTGTCCAATTCTTGATCTCAGCTCAGGTCATGATATCACAGTTCGTGGGATCAAGTCCCGTGTGTTAGGCTCTGCATTGATAGCATGGAGCCTGCTTAGAATTCTCTCTCTATCTCTGCCCTTCCCCCACTCGTTCTCACTCACTCTCTCTCAAAATAAATAAACATTTAAAAAAAAGAACCACTACAGTGTGTGTGGCTGACTTGATAGCTAATTCGAATTTGGGACATGCTAATAGGAGTATAATATTGAACACGGGCAGTTTGGACTTGCTGTATTCTTTAGGGGGTAGTTCTGTAAGCTGCAGATCACGAGGAGGAACTGAGTTTGTCCAGAGGCGAGTGGTGAAAAGAGTGAGGGGATTTGAACTCACATATGAAAAATGGTGCCTGGACACAAGCCACATTATGTGTGTACTTGTCCGCATCTCTTGCCCAGAGGTGGGACAGTGTGGTCTTTAAGAGCCTTGGCTCTGGGACAGACTGTCAATTTTCAAATCCCTGCTGTCACCCCCGCGCCTTGGTAGTGTTGAAAGCAAGCCCTTCATCCTCTCTGCGCCTCAGCGTTTTCATCTGTAAAACAGTGGTGGTGCTGACCCACCCAGCTGGGGGGTTATAAAGCTTTAGGATGAAGAGAGTCAGCACCTGTCCCCAGGAGGCACTGAAGACATGCTGGCTGTTACTGTCCTCACGTGGCTTAGACATGTGGGCGTGACATTAGCGACATTGTAGTTTTCCCTGGGCTTGCAAGTAGGTCTCAAACTTGACTCGGTCATTAGCACCGAGAGAAGTGGTTACTCTGTAGCTTTATTTTTTTTTTTTTAATGGTTTTTTATTTTTGAGAGAGAGCGTGAGCAAGGGAGGGCCAGAGAGAGGGGGAGATACAGAATCTGAAGACAGGCTTCAGGCTCTGAGCTAGCTGTGTGCACAGAGTCCGACGCGCGGCTCAAACCCACGAACCGTGAGATCGTGACCTGAGCCGAAGCCAGACGCTTAACCAACTGAGCCACCCAGGCACCCCTAATCTGTAGCTTTAAATGATACTCTCTGTCACATTTAAGTTATATTTGCAATTAGACTTCTTCCTGTTAATATTTAATTTTTCAGTGGGAACCTGGATAAGCAGACAGCCCTGGGCAACACGGCCCTACACTACTGCAGTATGTACGGCAAACCCGAGTGCTTGAAGCTGCTTCTGAGGGGCAAGCCCACCGTGAGTGTCGGTAAGCGTGTGACCAAGCCGGTCAACAAACCAGCCAGCGCGTTCGGTTGGCTAAACCGAGACTCGCGTGTTATGTTGTAATTTGATTATTGTTCGTAGCCTCTTCAAGATCTACCTTAGATAATTATGCAGATGTCTTTTCCCCTGTTTCAGTGAACCAGGCTGGAGAGACTGCCCTGGACATAGCAAAGAGATTGAAGGCTACCCAGTGTGAAGATCTGGTAAGCAGAACAGGGGGGATCCGTCAGACACCAGCCGCCTTGAAATGTCATTCTAGAACCTGGGGTGGGGATAAAAGAAACAGATTCATCTTTCTGACCACTGGCTGAAGACATTCAGCGAGCACAATGGCTACATTTGAAACAGTGGCGAAAGGATAAATTTGTCATCCCCATTTATCTTTTCGGTGCAGTTAGGACACAGGAACTAACAGGCATTTGAGAGGTACTGTCACCAGACGGGCCTGTGCCTTGAGGCCACACTTTTTTATATGCCAGACCCTGAGGTGTCCCCTGTAGCCCAGTGTACAGAATTACTCGGAAGCCAGTTCCAGAAATTGGGCAAGTAGAGATCTGAGTATGATGGTTTTCCAGAGGCGAAAGGCCTGGCTTCCCCAGCGGCCCCATCCTGTCTGGTCCCAGTGTTCCTCCCCTCTCAGCCTGGGCCTTCGCGTAGCGTGATGCTCTTGCCCACGGGGAGGGAGAGACGGGAAAGGTGAGTTCCCTCCCTTTGCTCTCTGCCAAGCATGGGCTCCAGGCCGGCAGCTCTGGGTCTGCAGGCCCACGAGAATCCTTGCAGGAGGTCTCTAGCTCGCCCTGCCCCCGTTTATGAACAAGGAAAGTGGGCCACCCGTCGAACCAGGCTGTCTGACCAGAAAGGCCTGCCTCTCACACGTCACTAACTCTGATGTCGCCTTCCAGCCAGGAGTTAGCACTGTTGAGGCCCCGCTTAATATTTAAGAAAGCTTCTAATTTCAGAGAAGAGTCCTGTTCTCAAAATCAGAAAGGCTCTGCGGGTGATTCTTGGCCCCTCCTCTTAAGCCCGGCCAGTCAGATTGGAGCTTTGCCCCTTCAGGCAGCCACCGGGGGTTAATTTGGAAGCAGGACTTCGGTGGGATCTGCTCCGTGGTTACGCAGGGGCGGGATGTTAACCCTGACGTTGACGCGGTTACACCTGCCGTCACTTTCAGCTCTCGCAGGCTAAGTCTGGGAAGTTCAACCCACACGTGCACGTGGAGTATGAGTGGAACCTGCGTCAGGAGGAGATGGACGAGAGCGACGACGACCTGGACGACAAAGTGAGTGCCCGCAGCGCCCCCCGCGTCCGCACTGCCGCTACCCGGTTTTCGGCACTGCGTGGACGAGACCCCTTCTCTCCCAAGCCTGCGTCTGGCCTTGCGACCTGAGGCCACGTTTGCTCAGTCTCTGATGCTTGCTCAGTACCACAGCCATGTCCATCAGGGTTCTCCGGAAAACGAGACGCAGGGGTGTGGTTGAGGGGGAAGGGAGAGAGGATGGAACTATTTGTAGGAACTGACTCACATGATGGCGGGAGCCGGCGAGTCCACAGTGCACAGGGCAGGCCGGCCGGGGGAAGACCCCAGCGGGAGTCGACGGTGTGGTCTTGAGTCCCCAGTCTCTTCTCAAAAGCCCTTCAATTAATTAGATGAGGCCCACCATACTATGGAGGTAGTCCCTTTTCCTCAAAATGTTAATTTAAACTTTAATCACATCTAAAGAAAGCCCCTTCACTGCAGCATCCAGACTAGTGTTCAACCAAGCACTGGGGCACCACAGCCCAGCCAAGTGGACGCACAGAATTAGCCATCAGAGCAGCTCATTAACAAAGGAAGAGTTGTTGTGTATTCAGTACTCAGGTACGGACTAGGCCGCGGGAAGCACGTTGCCTGTGCCGCCTCACATCGGCGTTCCCAGAAGCCCACTATGGCCTTGTTAGGCCCCCCATTTTACAGATGGGAGAACTGACCCACGGAGACTGCCCCCACAGGTCCCGGAGCATGTGCAGACCCCTGGGGACTGCCCCTGGGTCTGTCTTCCCCCGCGCGGACCCTAACTGCCACGTGCGGTTTTCATCAGCTCTATCTCGAGCGTTTCCTCGCTGCTGGGCTGCCTGTAAGGAGTGGTCTGCACAGGTTCTGAGAGACGTTCTTCACTGTGAGAAGAGGGGAATAGTAACGACCGTTACAGGGAGAGCTTGGGAGAAATCCTGAGACGTGTTCAGAGGACTTAGCAACGGCCTCAGCCTTGGTTGGTGGTAAAGACCTAACAAGGAAGAAGCTCTGGAGATGTAGGGAGAGCAGGGAGGAGCTTGCCAGGCAAGGAAGTGGGGAGGAACGCGTCTTTCCAGGGAGCAAGAGCAGCATGTGCAAAGGCCAAGGGGTCGTGACGGAGCTGGAAGTCTGGGGAAGGGTCAGAAGCCCGGTGTGTAAGGTGCCTTCAGGTAGGTTGGGGGGAGAGGGGTCAGGCGTCCCAGATCAGGAAGCACATTATGGACCAAATTTGGCCTTGGGGCTTTATCCACAGAGATCGCTGTCAGAGGAGGCAGTTTCCCCACCGGCTCTGGCCGCAGCGTGGAAAACACGCTGGAGCCGAAAGCAGCTGCAGCAAGGAACTGAGGGCTGTTCAGGGAGCCTGTGTGTCCCTGGGGGCTGGCGGGCGCCTGCACTAGGCGTAGGGCCCGGGTGCGTTTCTGAGCTATCCATTCAGGTCCTGGTGGCCCTGGGTGACCTGGGGGCTTCTGCCGTGGGAAGTAACATGGATGCCCCTGCTGTCACCGGGAGTGCAAACACGAGGGACGCCCTTAGAGGCAACTGAAGACAGTTTTGAATTCGAGAGGCCGGGCTTGGACCCGCAGGTCTGAATCAGCAACCTCAGGTGTCACTCTGGCCTCGGTGTGGAGGCTGCTTCCTAAGGGGGTGTAAGATGAGAAGGGAGGCGAGGTCAGAGCACTTGGACGTGAGAGGGTTGAGCAGGGAAGGAACGCAGTGTAGAGATTATACGCATGGGAACGTGTTCAGCGCCGGTAAAACTGACCCACACAGGGCAGGTATCTGTTAATTAAAGTTACATTTGTGACCTTAGGCTTCTGAATACTTGCAGTCGCTAACCATTGTCTCCCTAATGTGACCCTGATAATGGGGAGCGGGGAGTCAGGGGTGTAAGAGCCACATCCTTGGTGCTGGGTGGCGACTGACCTCAGGGCATGCAGAGGGGCACGGGAGCCCCCTCCCCAGCGGAGCCTGGAGCATAGTCCTCGGTGAATGCTCACCCGCTGCGCTGTTCTGTTCTGTCCTCCGCAGCCCAGCCCCGTCAAGAAAGAGCGCTCGCCGAGGCCTCAGAGCTTCTGCCACTCCTCTAGCATCTCCCCCCAGGACAAGCTGTCCCTGCCGGGGTTCAGCACCCCGAGGGACAAGCAGCGGCTCTCCTACGGCGCCTTCACCAACCAGATCTTCGCCTCCACAAGCACAGACTCGCCCACGTCACCAACCACCGAGGCACCCCCGCTGCCTCCGAGAAACGCCGGGAAAGGTATGGACTTTGAGAAGGGCTTTGCAACTCCATCCTCAAAGCTAGTGGTCTCCGCAGCCTCGAGGTACAAATGGCAGGGTGCCTCTGAGTGGCAGAGGGCGGAACGTGATGTCAAGGACAGCTCGAAGTAGGGACCTTGCCATTCTTTGCACCAACGGTAAAAGAACGTGTGGGCACGCCCCGTGTTGTGCTGTACTTGCCTCGCAATGGTCCTGTGAGGCGTGTGCTCTTGCGCCCATTTTATAGATGCAGCTTGCAGAGATAGAGTGACTTGCTCAAGGTCACCCAGCCGGTAAGTGGTAGAGTTGAGATTCAGTCTAAGGTCCACCTGGCGCCGAATCCTGTGCCCTGTGCTGTATGCTGGGGGTGGGATCGTAGTTCTTCTCTGAACAGGTACTTTTCTCTCCACTAAGATGTCTCTCTTCTGAAGATGTAGGTGGTAACGGTGGTGGGCAGTAGTTACGAAGCACGTCTTGTTCTGTGCTCACACAATGAGGTGGGTGCCACAATTGCTGGCATCAGGCAGACAAGGGGACTGTGGCCCAGACACGTTGCATAACCGGCCTCACCTTCTCGGGTACCTGTGATTCTCACCCGGGTCCTCTATGACCCGAGCCCATACTCCTGTGCTTTCCGATGAGGGCAGTTTTCCTCACGCGACACTACCTGGGAAGGGTCTTACCCAGAAGAGGCTCGTGGCGTAGAGAGCGCTGTCTGACGCCTCCACCAGGCTGGCACCGAGGGCTAATGGGCCACCGCCCTGTTCCATAGCAACCAAGTGCTTGTCCTGTATCCTGAGAGTGCCCTGCTCCGGGTGTCCGTGTGTTCCCACCCGTGCAGGGACACGTGGAGATGCAGAAATGGCAACATGAAGGGTCACCCCAGCCGGGGGGGAATGGAGAGCTATAGCTTCGGGTTTGGCCTCAGCCAGTAACCCCAAGTGCAGGATTCTCCCTGTGTGCTCAGCTCGTGCTAACTCAGGTTCCAGGGGCCGCTTCGTGCACAATGTCGTGCCTATTTGAATCACACTGGGGCTATTTTCTGAGAAATGTGAGCTTTATTCAGAACAGCATTTTTTCAGAGCTCATTCTCCATTGAAATGGCGTTATAAATGGGAGCTGTGTTCTTGGACCCCAAATGGCCTCATAGATCATAAAATAACGGGGAAAAGTTAAAATAAGGTTTTGGCACGAGGAGCGCTCATCAAAGATAACTAGTGACCGTAACGTAAGAGTAACAGCACGCAGGAGCCGGTGGTTTAACCCGCTAGAGTTTACTAGCCGGTGGTTTAACTCACCATACATTATACTAGAATGTACGTAAATCAAGCATCAGAATCCAAGCTGCAGATCTGATCTGTGCTGTAAGAGTACGAGGTTGTTGCCCACCTCTGGGTAACGAGATCTCCCCATGAGAGTAGCAATCTCATAAGATTTCTGTACCCAAAGAGGACCATGAGAAACCTCCAGACCCTTATAAAATAATCGAAGAAATTACTCTGAACACATTCGCATCCCTGATTGTGGTTACCAACGTGGTAGTGAAGAACTGTATAGGCAGATAGCACAGGCCCCTCCCTGTTGAGGGAGCCTCCGAGTCATGGAGAACCTTGAAAAGGGTCTGCAGGAGAGGACACAGATTCCGGGGGCCCAGAGACCACCTCACCTCCCTCACCCCTTTCTGTAATTTCATCTCAAGGGGGCACAGTTACCCACAAAATACACTATCTGACTTGATGCCAAGCATCTGTCTCCTGCCTTGAATAAACTCTAGCGCTTTACCAAAGGCCCAGAAAACAAAGACCAAATGTGTTAAGTGATCCAGCTGGTGAAATAGGGGCTCGGAGACTTGGCCGTAGGCACCATGGCCCAGCCCCGGGGACTGGCTCTACTTCCCCCACGGCCCAGCCCCAACCTCCCGGCCCTGGGGGTAGAAACCCCTCTGTGCTGGAACCCAAGTGCTCCTGCAGGCTGCTTGCGGGAGACATCAGAGGCAGAGAGATGCAGGCAGCAGGGGCTCCCCGGGACTCTACGAAGGGGAGCTGGGCCCCACAGCCAGCCTGGCTCATGGGCCCCCACGTTTGGGAAAGTGATCATGTTTAGAATGCAGATCTTAGAAGACGTTGTTGAAAGTCGGCTGACACTCTGTGCAGAGAGAATTCTCCTCTGTTTTATGGCCCTTACGTTTTTTTTCTCGGTTCATTCTGTTGAGCTGGTAGAACCATTTGCATGAGAACAAGGATGTCTTGAATCTGTCGTTTGGTTGCTCATTTTCCACGGAAGTGATGTCGGCGTCTCTGCAGTCCGTTTCCACACTGTGAGTTTAGGGCTCTGGCGGGCGGCGGCTTCCGGCGAGGCACAGCGGACACTCGTGATCAAGTCCCCACTAGTAAGAGGAGTGCAGAGGGGAAGAGGAGGAAGAGTTATTCTGAGTCCACGCAGGAATATTTTGCAGTACTTGCAGCTGCCCCATCAGAACACAAGGCAGTGTGACCTCAGTTGCCGTCCAGCAGGGCCTCCTTGACCTTGAGCAGGGCTGCAGTCGGAGTGGGAAGGCCCAGCGGCTCAGAACCCCAGATTCGCCACACTTGAGCCTTGGGCACATTTTGCTGCCTAGCCTCTTCAGATCTGTGAAGCACAGCAAGTTTAAGTCCAAGCTGCAAAATTAATTTATGCAGAAGTGACTCCTTTGCAATCTGCGCCTGTCCCCCACTTTACAGTTATGTTTATTAAGACTAGAAATTCCTCCAGCTTGCCAGTGAGGTTTTTCATCTCTCAGCCAGAGTTAATTTCCCAGAAGCTGAATTCTTGGTCGCTGGGGGGAGCTGAAGGGTGATGGCAGTCCGCAGCCCATTGTCCAGCTGAGGAAACTGAGCCCTGGAGAGGGTGAGGAGTGATCCGAGGCCACACAGCGGCTGTTAGGGGATAGGAAGTAAAAAATGGGCCTTAAGACTCATCAAACCAGAGCTTTTAGTTTCCTCTTACCCACAGAGGAAGGCGGTCGATCGCTGCCTTGCCTTCCTCGAGGACTCACCCTGAGAACCCAGTGAGACGGTATGTGGGGAAAGTGTTTTATAAAAAAGCAAAGCCTTGACTTCCCGTGAGGGGGCCCCCTAGGACTGTCCGACCATGACCGCAGACATCTCTAGGGCACAGAGGGACGCAGGGATCTGCATGGTGCCGTGTGACCCGTCCCGCGGGGCAGGGGCTCACGGCGGATACTGCGCCCTTGTGCTTGGGGGTTGGTTGGATTTAACTCAGTTTCTGAGTGGTTTTAAGCTGCAGGACTGTGGCTCTCTCGCATCGTACAGCCCCACACCGCTTACATAACAGGACACAAGGCGGAGCGGACGCGAGGTGTCGTGCAGGTTAACGAGGTGCGGGAAGCATGCAGCCGGGCACCTGGCCCAGGGTCAGTGCCCCCAAGGCCCCAGCTGCTCACACTGTCGCCACTCCAGCTCCTCGGCTCTAAAAAGGCTCCTTTGGGGAAAAGGGAGGCAGGGCGATGTCACCCAAGTCCCATAAACGAACAGGTGCTCTGACATGAAGCTGGATGGTGCCGGCACCTTGTGCTCAAGGAGAGGCTTCGTTAAGTAAATGAACCGTCAGCGGCTGGTAAATCTGACCTCAGGAAGCATATTTGACTTTCTTAGAACTAACTTTCCAAACTTTGAGCAACGCGCACCACTGATGGTTAATGAGTTCCTCCGGTCTGCTTGCAGAGCCGGGCCCTAAAACTGTCATTTTGTGCCCCCCGTGAGTGTCGGGTGAGCACCTGTGCGACTTGGTGCTGCGCTGACGCACTGTGTCCGCGTTTTCCGTCATGTGGACTCCCTCTTCAGACAGGCCGCAGCCCCGGTGGGGGGTCCAGCAGGCGGTGAGCACAGCTGCTCCGCGCTGCCAGACCGAGGGTCCCAGTCGGTGCTCGCGCGTGGGTGCTCGGGTCAGAGAGTGGCGGGCCGGGCGCCTCCTCCGCCATCAGCTTGGACGAGGACACCCAGTACCCTCGTGAGTCCCAGAGCAAAGCGCGAGAGCCACACCCTGTCTAAGGCACAGATGCACTGCAGGGACCTGGGGGGGCAAACCTCACTTCCTCCTCCTCAAGGAAGCCTCCTCCCCTTGGCCCGCCCAAGAGAGGGCCCCTTCTGCGAACGTGTAACCCTGTCCCAGTCCTGGGCTCTTTTTCATATTTAGCTGGTCTTGCCGGGCTTCAGGGTCTTCACGTGGGAAACAGGACCAGGCACCTGCCTTGCTGACTCCCTGCTCAGAGACCACGAAATAACGTTCGTGGTGACTGGCCCCGAGCAGGCGTTCAACGGAGAGGACTTTTTTTGATCCTTCCACATCTTATCGGTTCAACAGATGTTCTGGGCTCTGGGAACACGGCGAAGAAGGGAGAGAAGGCAGAGAGATGTGCGCTGTGGCGCTGGGCGGGTGTGGAGGAGGAGGGCCAGGGAAGTCTCCGGTTCACCATCCTGCAGCACGGGCTGCAAGGGAGCTGTCCTTGCCCCCGGCACGGAGCAGGTGTGCTGAGTCCGTGCGTGTTGAATGAATACACAGCAGCAGGATCTGTGAAAAGCTGCCCCAGAAATGTGTGGCCAGAGTCCGGAGGGGACACTACACCAGGTATCCCGGGGGTGTGGGGTTGACCTGCTGAAAGTCTGCAGAGCGCGTGCGGCGTGCTGCCCCCCTGCGGCATGTGAGCGTCCGAGACCACGTTTCTGTGTCGTTTCTTTTGAGGTCTGCAGCAGTAGTCAGAGCAGAGAGGGAGGTGTCCTCAGGACATGAAGGTGGCCCGCCGTCATCCAAGTGCACTGCAGGGTGACTACAGCTTGCCTAGGAATTATTTTCCTGGTAGCGGCATATTCACATACTGATGACTCACAGTGTCCTGAGTGGTTTTTTCCCTAATCTCATGGGAAGATAACCATCGAGTGGCCTCATACTGCAGCTGCCCACGGGGCTGTCATCCTTCCTTTGTGTCGGGTTTTTTAATTTTTT